ATCATACCTCTGCATGTTCTTAAAAGATCCAAAAATTTTTACGGTGGTAATGTGTTTTTGTTTTGTGTAAAATATGAATTTTTAGGTTTTGGAAAAAAAACATTTTTTCATTAATAACATATTATCAAATTAATACTAAATTTTATATGTATCAACATCATCTAAGCATTATGCTACCACTTTCCATTTCGCTTTTCTCTTTCGCACTTTGTCTCCCTCTCTTTCTCTCTGTCACTCTTCCATTTGACTACGCACACCTTTCATACTCGTGGCACTCACAATTCTCGTTTAGCTTAATTTCCTTTACACTTTGCTTATTTATGTCCCCTTTAAGGATCTGTCTTTAAACTTCTGCGTAACTTTATGCAATCTTGCCTACTGTCACTTTGCATCTTCGCTACTTTGCAGCTTGTAAAAAGTTTATTTAACTTTTTTCCAAACACTCAACTGCTTTGTTTCCGTTCGCTCCCCTTTTGCATTCGAGTCTTCAGCTTTCTGCCACAAGCAATGAGTGCATCATTTCTTTACCTTGCTTGCCAGCACAACACCATAGAAAAAAAGTTTGTATAGGCTTTCAAATGTTTTGCATCCTATGTGTCTTATTGTAATGCTGTTGCTGTTGTTGCTAATGTGCTTGTTGAGGTGTTGCGACAGCCGCAACTCTGCTACATGCTCTGCAACATGTAAGTATTAGACATGTTGCAAGAAGAAATCTTTCACTGCCTCCACTGCCTCCTCTGCCTCCTTTTCCGCATAAAGTGATAGAACAGAAGCAACTGCAGGGCATAGACGTAGTTAAAAATCCATTGATATTTGTATGTGTAAATTACCTTGCTAGCTTTCATATGTTCATTTGTATCCACGTATGTATGTACAGGGCCGTAGAGAGGAATTTCGGGCCCGGGGGGTATCTCGAATGTGGGCCCCAAACAATTTTTGACTTGTGTAAAATTTAGATGAAAGAAATAATAATACCAATATCGTAGTATACTGCCGTCCACCGTAAGAAAGTGGTTAACTACGGCTTTTATGATTTGAAAAGTACATATATTTAATAATAGCAGACTCGGCGAACTTCGTCTCACCCAAAATAATTTTATTTTTATTGAAACTTTTTGGTCCAATATTTTCACCATTGACGTCTAATATTATGTTTTGGTGGTCATTTGCCGCTTTAAGTAACCTAACGAAAGTGTAATGTCCGTGAAGAGGTGCTTTAAATTCTCCAATTGATAACACGGTTAATCGCAAAACGAAATAAATTTTAAGAACTCTTTCCTCTTCACTCCCTGGTAGCAACAATGAGCCGGTTCTTTAGTGAATCTATCCTAGAAACTTTATGGTATAGTTGGCAGAAATTTCAAAATGGGCGCACATCATTGCTCTACAGAAAGCAATATACACATACTTCTTTAAGACGAAAGACCTTAAAAGCTCAAACGCATAATAATATTGGAAAATCACATCCATTGGGCCAATTGTAACGCACTCAATTCTATACACTCAATGGTGCAACAGGTCGATTTAATCTGACATTCACGGCACCTCTTCTCACTTGGTCGATGATAATGGGCTTGATTTCATATCTTCAAGAGTGTGCAATTGGTTTCATATATCTCCATACTAAGTTGTAGTACCCCATCATGAACGCTTCCAGAGATAAGTAGTATAAAAAATTCTGTTTATATGGGAGGTACCACGCCCCCTATATGTATCGAAATTCTTTTAGCCTATAACCATCCTTGGGACGTGTGCGGCAGGCGTCCAAAATTTCAAATAAATCGGTTCAGCCGTTCTCGAGCTTTGCGAACACAAAAAAACGGCTTTCAAAATATATATTAGTATAGCTTATGCTTGGATAATTAATTTGGTTGTGATAATGAATGAAAGAATCAGAGAAAAACTTTAACAACGAAAATTTTATTCACTCAGTTTAACTGACAAATTATTAAAACTATTGACACAGTTCTCGGAATATTGCCTTCCTGACTTTAGCTGAGGCAAAGGCTTTGATATAGCTAATTGCCGTGATTGCGTGTGACAAGAACATATTTACATACATGCAGAATTTTGTATGAGTTATTATTATTCTCCATGCAAAATGTACGAGTATGGCTATACTAAATGTAAACGTATGCGAAATACCTAACTGTTTCGTAAACAAAGGGTTAAAATTTGGCGAGCACGTGGCATTCCGCAGAAATTTAAGAATTTGATTGGCTGGATGACGGCGAGAGGAGGACGGAAGCAGTTCAATCGTACATATGTATTTATGTACATAAATATGTATATCAGTCATGTCCAACGCTGGCACAACTCCATAAGCAAGCGACCTGCGCTGGGCATGCCTGATGTATATTTATCAGAGCTCGCAAATAACTGGGTGGAAAAGTCCACGATCCCCCCTCTGGTCGGACCAGTGCACATACATATGTATGCCTGTATGTATGCATTCACCTTTTGGCGCTTGCGGTCTACGTACAAACAAGCAAATTTAGCGTTCTCCTCCACCGCCACTGAGTTCATTGAATTCTTGTCAGTCAATGCTTTTCTTTTTTTTGTGGCTACTGTCTCGTTGCCTCTTTTCTTCATCTTGTGGTTGTTGTTTTGTTGTTGCTACTGTTGCTGCTGTTGCTTTTTTAACTTGTTAGCTAGCGGCCTGTTGGCAAGCAACTACACTCATAAATAATTCTTCAAAACAGGTTCCCTGTTTGGGCAGCCGCAGCCACTGTCATTGCCAGTATGCCAGTACGTACTACGTGCCGTGCCCTTTCGCTTTGTACTGCCTCTACTTGCTGCCAGCTAAGGCTGCATCTCTGTACGTTCAATGCGGAGGCCGAGGCAGTCTAATGCTATGTTTTTTATGGCACAACAACTTTTGGCGTAACGACCAGCCAGCGCCACATGCTGGCTTCCATGCAGCCAGACTCAATGCATCGGTGTGGGTATTTTACAATTCAGATCATTTATTCATTTTATTTGCAAGTTTCATTTTTTTCCTTAATTGCAACATGGGTTGTGGTGCATTCTCTTCCTGGTGTTAATGAGAAAATAAAAAGTCGAAGAAGTTTCAGTGATATTAGTATGTGCACGTTTAGTTGGCGTGAAAAAATGCAAAAAAAAAGAGTTCTTCGAATGAAATTGAGAATAACTTAAGGCGAAGATCTCAATTTTCTCGGAACCGTCTGCTTTGGATCAAGCTGCTTGCAATATAGCCGTGTAAAATTGACCCAGTTTCTAGTTTTGGGCAGGGTTTAGAACGCGCCACCTAAATTAACGCTACCAATCAATGGATCGGTGGTTTTGGTGACAGGTAATAAGATTAACGGAAATAAGGTCAATTGACTTTATTTCCCACGCTTGTGCGAAATAAAATCAATTGACATTATTACATTTTCAAAAGCGAAATAAGATCCATTGATATTATTGCTCTTTCAAACATTAAATTTGCTTAGCTTCGCGGCGGCCCGCGTCTGCGCGCCACACCGCGTTAGAGACTCTGGTTATCCATATAAAAATAGACGTGCAATAAGACATCAAAGGCAATATAGGGATATCGTCGAACATATCAATAAATACTTGGTTTCGAAAATCCATCAAGAAAGCGATAACAAAATTAAAGCAAGAGGGCTATATGAGCCATGAAGCTAAGAAAATGTATTGTCAAGTGAGAATAAGATCGGCAAAGTAAGATCCGCAGCGACGTGTTTGTAAAAGCGAGGTTATGGAAAAGCTCATTGTTGCTTTAGAATTCAAGTACCACCTACTATGGCTTTGTACCATTCCATATGTTTTTTT